AGTATTCTTGCCTGGAGAACTCCATGGACAGAGGAGCCTGGTGAGCTGTACAGTCCGTGGGGTTGCAGAGTCAGACACAACTGAGCCCCAGGAGAATGCACCTGGGGCTTGCAAGCGCTTGTGATGGAACATCTTAGCAGCAGGCATGACTGCCATCTGGTGGCCATGTGCTGCCATGGCATGTCACCAACCTGAGGGTTTCTCCGCCTCGAGCTGTTGCCATTGTCGGGGGATGGGGGGCTGTTTCGTGCACACTATGGGAGGTTCAGCAGCACCCCATGGAAACCAGCACCTTCTGGAGACGAGTGACACTCTCTCCCCAAGTGGTGACAGAGAAAATGTCTCCAGACACTGGCAACTGTCCCCTCTGGGGGCAAAATCACCCCTGGCTGAGAACCTAAGAGTCTCGTGAATGCAAAGTAAATAACTAAACTCTGTTTGTTCATTCACTCATAAACAGCTCACATTAGGCAAAGGTTTTCGTTCCTAACATCAGCTGGAAGGAGTGAGCTCTTGGCCAGGGTCACTCACTCAACAGTGCTTTTCACAGCTTTACGAGATTCTGAGCTTTCAATTCAGGAACAAGAAAATCCATTCTTATCCAGTGACTCCCAGCTGCCTCAGGCAGAAGTAACAAGCATGGTGACTCCCGGCACACACACACACCCCCACGCTCGGCTCAGATCCTGCAGAGGGAACTCACAGCGGACCACGCTGCAGCCTCATCACGGCACTTCAGCCAGCGACTGCCACATCACCCAGACAGGAAGCTGCCGTACCCCTTGGACTTGAGTCTCCTCCCCCCCACCTAGAGCTGAAGTCAGGGTGAAGTGGCACTGACAAGGGGGATCCTCCTTGAGAACCCTCTTTGACCCCCGAAAACCTGAGACTCCACTCACTCACAGAGAGAAACCAGGTTCTAGGTGGCACTAGCAGAGGTCCAGGAAGTACGCTCAGTCCCAGCCAGTCTGGGGAGTCCCCCCTGCCCCCCAAACACACACACACACACCCCTAGAGACACCAGATGGCTGGGTGCTACTGGTACTGGCAGGGAGGTGCCACCACACAAAGCACTCTCCCCAGGAGGTGCCTCTTCCTCATGGGCAGACGACCCCCTACCCACCCAGTTGCATTCCCTTTCCACCCACTCAGGCCGTATCGGCAGAGACCAGGTAGAGCTCCAACAGCACCAGATCAACCAAGCTGACCAAAATAGCACCACAAAGGCTCTGAAGATTAAATTGCCATTGAAACCAGGGCCCACAAAACTACACCAAGACTTACTATAAACAGGGTGACGATGCCCTAAAACAGAAGATTTAAATAGTGCCTTCACTTACATGATTCTTAAGTAACATGTAAAACCCTAGACTGAAAGCTTTATCTTTTACAATTTGAAAAGGTCATTTTCTTTTTGTAGTCAGTGCTACTGACAAGTCAGATTTACTCAGTCAATTATTATTCATTGAGGGGCCACAAAATGCCAGGAACTGGGTTTTTTCCATTTTTTTTTTTAATTTAATTTTGGCTGTGCTGGGTCTTCATTGCTGCCCACCGGCTTTTCTCTAGTTGTGATGAGTGGAAGCTACTCTGTAGTTGCGCTGTGTGGGCATTTGACTGGGGTGGCTTCTATTGTGGAGCACGGGCTCCAGAGCACAGGCTTCAGTAGTTGTAGCACCTGTCCTACAGGCATGTGGAATCTTCCCAGACCAGGGATCAAACCACTGTCCCCGACATCGGCAGATGGAGTCTTAACCACTGGACCATCAGGGCAATCCCAGGCACTGCTTTTAGCACTCATTGAACAAAACAAATCATTCTTTTTTTTTGTCTTGTAAGTGATCCATGTTTAGTCTCTGGAGGTTGTCAGAAGTTCTTCTTTGCTATTCATTGTTGGAGGAAGTCAACAAGAGGATGTGACCATTGGTTGACCCAAGAGCTGTTGTTTAGTTGCTACTGCTGCTGCTGCTGCTGCTGCTAAGTCACTTCAGTCGTGTCCGACTCTGTGCGACCCCATAGACGGCAGCCCACCAGGTTCCCCCGTCCCTGGGATTCTCCAGGCAAGAACACTGGAGTGGGTTGCCAGTTCCTTCTCCAATGAATGAAAGTGAGAAGTGAAAGTGAAGATGCTCAGGCGTGTCCGACTCTTAGCGACCCCATGGACTGCAGCCTACTAGGCTCCTCTGTCCATGGGATTTTCCAGGCAAGAGTACTGGAGTGGGTTGCCATTGCCGTCTCCATGTTTAGTTGCTAGTTGTATCCAACTCTTTGCCACCCTGTGGACTGTAGCCTGTCAGGCTCCTCTGTCCATGGGATTTCCCAGGCAAGAGTACTGGAGTGGGTTGCCAGTTCCTTCTCCAGGGGATCTTCTCCACTCAGGAATCGAATTTGAGTGTCTTGCATCTCCTGCACTGGTTGGTGGGCTCTTTACTAGCTGAGCCATCAGGGAAGTCAGAGGAAACTGAGTGATTTTCAAAGCAGAGAATCTATGGTGTTAAAACATGGTCAAGACCACTCCCCGTTTATCACCCTCTTCCTACCAGGTGATCTTATGTAATAATAAATCTATTTTTACCTCTGTTTTGCAGTAATCACCTGGCTGACTGCATGTATGTTCCTGCATGCGCATACATATTTGGGTGTTCATGTGGATCAGGGTGGGACAAAGGTGAATAAAACCCTTGGAGGTGGAGCTGCTTGTATCTGTTAGCATCCACTCCTCTCCCAGCCCAGCTGTAAGGTTACCCTGTGCTATGGTGAGTTGACAAAGATTTCCCCAGAGTGATGTCAGAGAGAGTAGAAAGGAGCACACAAGACATCAGAAAGCACCCCCACTCCCAGAGCACACCCCTGAGTCCCCTCGTGGCATCTGGTGCTTTTCATCGCTGCTACCATTCCATCCCCATCTAGACACATGCGCACACACACCCTAGGGCAGACTGTAGCCATCTGTCTCTCAGAAGGTCTCCAATCCATTTTTCATTAGTTTCTTAACTCAACAACCTCCCTCCTTCCAGAGGCACCCAGGTTGGGTTTGGGACAAGGACCTAGCCATTTACATTAGGATGCTGTGTTAGTTACCATTTTCTGTCTAACAATATTACTACATACTTGGTGGCTGAAAATATCACACATTGGTTATCTCACAGTATCTGTGTATGAAGGTCCAGGCAGAGCTTAGCTGGGTCCTTGCAGCGGGCTGTCAAGGTGTCAGCCAAGACTGTTTCTCATGTGAAGACTCTACTAGGGTTGATCCACTTCCAAGCATCTGGGGGTTGTTGGCAAGGGTTAGTCCTCATCTGTCTTTCTGGGCTGACAGTTTCTTGTCTTGGGGATTTCCCCAATATCATACTTGTTTCACCAATGCCAGCAAGGAGGATTCTCCTAGCAAAACAAGCATTAGAATCATGTCACCTTTGTTGCATTTTATAGGTTAAAAGTAAGTCACAAGTACACTCAAGGTCAGGGAGCAGGTAACACAAAGGTGTGAATACCATCAGGCTCAGATCATGGGAACCACTTTGGAAAATGGGAACTGGATAAGGAGTACCTTCTTCTTTTTGCCGTGTCTCATTGATTGCAGGATCTTACTCCCCCTACCAGGGACTGAATCTGCGCTCACTGCAATGGAGGTGAGGAGTCTTAACCACTGGACTGCCAGGGAAATCCCAGGGGGTGCCTTATGGCAAGAACTAAAAATCTTTTCCCCCAAAGTTTTTTAAAACCATTGAAGGGTTTTAAGCAGGAATGTAACATCTTATTCTTACTTTAGAATAATCACCAGCCAGACATGTGGCTAACAAACTGGTGGGAAAGCAAACTTGACTTACAGAAATCAGCTAGGAGGCTGGTACCATACCACCAGAGAAATGTCGGTGTCTAGAACTAAGGTAATGGGGCTTCCCTGGTGGCTTAGATGTTAAAGAAACCGCCTGCAATGCAGGAGACCCAAGTTTGATCCCTGGGTCAGGAAGATCCCCTGGAGAAGGGAATGGATACCCACACCACTATTACACTAAGGTAATACTGAAGGGAAAAGAGAAACACGAACAAACTGGAGAATGATTTAAAGAATACAGTGAATAGGACTTGGTGATGAATAAGCAGTGAGAGTTGAGGATATTCCGGTTCTGGCTTTTGCAAATTATTTGTAAGCAGTGATATTATTCACTGAGAAGAAGAGGGACAGTGTAGACAAAAATTAATGTTTGAGGTGGGTAGATTTGTCCAATAGCTGAAAGTCAAAGTCGCTCAGTTGTGTCTGACTCTGCGATCCCATGGACTATGTCCTTGGAATTCTCTAGGCCAGAACACTGGAGCGGGTAGCCTTTCCCTTCTCAGGGGGATCATCCCAATCCAGGGATCAAACCCAGGTCTCCCGCATGGCAGGCAGATTCTTTACCAACTGAGCTATCAGGGAAGCCCATTAACAGGATTAGAAACTAATAGTGCTCCCTTGAGAGAACACCTCCTTTGATAAATTTAATTTTTATGCTTTCAGAGAACCTGTTGCTCAAATCTGTTGAGCCAGTTGAAACTGGCTGAATCTTTTCAACTCACCCATCTCACATGGGTGAATTTTCAGTATTACAAGTAGTCTACGAACGCATGCACCTCGGTCTGCAAATACACCTTTCACACTGTTCGACAGCAAAGGATGAGTTTAGGAGAAAGCAGACGAATGTGGGGAGAGCCAAGTACTGTGAACATCTTACACTAGAGTGTGTTAAGCAGGACGCCTCAGCAGCGCCACGTGCAGACAGAGCGCGGGACTTGCAGTATCGCGGATCTTCCGTTCACTCTCTTGCGTGTCCGCGGGATCCCGCACGAGCTAAGCGCCCGCTACTCTCGCGAGAGGGAGGCAGCCCGCGGCTCCTAGGATTCCCCCAACCACGCCACGCGTTCTCCCACCTGCTAAGGAGCGGGAGTCTGGCCGCGCCCGGGGCCTTCTGGGAGTCGTAGTTCCGGGGCCGAACGAGGCCCGCCAGCCTAACCCCCTGCTCTTGCGCATGCGCGGCCCCGCTGGCCAAAGAAGTTCATAGCCTTTGTGAGGCGGTGGTGGGGGGTGAGTTGTGGCTCAGGTGCCGGTTCTCTCTCTCGGCCTCGGCAGTGCCCCAGGGCAGTTGTCTGCAACCCATCCGGGCTGGAGTGCTCGCTGGAGGAAGGGGCGTCGAGGGCAGGAACGAGGCCCGGGGGCGCGGGATGGGCGGACGGCTGGGGGGCTTGGTCTGCGCGGCGGCCCCTTGGCGGCGGCCGGGGCGCTGGTGCTCCGGCCGCGCGGTTCCCGAGCGGCAGCACCAGGCGCGAGCGCCCAGCCTCAGGGATGCTTGTCCCGGCTTTCCAGGTACTAGCTTCGAGGGCCGAGCCGGCTCGGGACGGAGCGAAGCCTTTTGGAGGAGCCCCCCGAGGGGCGGCGGGAAGGAGGACCACGAGGCCTCGGGGCTTCCCGCCCCTCCGCCCCGAGAGGGCTGCGCTGGGGGGAGAGCAGGACCTTCAGGGCCGGGAGGAGGCGGTGACCATGGAGACTGATGTGGCCGAAACGCCCGGGAAGAGAGGTGAGACGGGCGGGTCTGGACTTGTGCTGGGGGCCGGGCCCGAATCCTTCCTGATGAACGGGAGTCAGTGTTGTCCGGCTCCTTTGTCTGGGGACGGACGGGCTCTTCGAGTGAGAGTGGAGAGCTTGCTGTGGGATCCCCCCTCTTCCCACTCCAGCTGGGTGCACAGCAAAGCCTCCCTCAAAATGTGAGCGAAATGTTATTAATAGCTGCTGAGGCTTGGGCATAGCCTCTCACTTTGTCTCACAGCTTCTTCTCCTGGGTGGTTATACCATCCTAGCTTCATCAATGGGTCCGACGATTTAGCTTTTTGGTTGGCAAAAATATCTTACACATCTTCCCAGTTGGCTCAATGGTAAAGAACCCGCCTGCTAATGCAGGAGACACAGGAGAGAAAGGATCAATCCCTGAGTCTGGAAGATCCCCTGGGGAAGGAAATAGCAACCCACTTCAGTATTCTTGTCTGGGAAATCCCATAGACAGAGGAGCCTGGCGGGCTACAGTCCATGGGGTCGCAGAAAGTTGGACCCGACTGAGCACGCATGCATTTTCCACACCTGTTTTTCCACTTTGCACAAAAACTCTTTGATTTCAGTAGAGCAGATCCTTTGTCTTACAGAGGAGACACGAGGCATAGGAGTCAGTGACTGGCTTCCAGTTCTCCTAGATCAAGGCTTTCTTGGTTTGCCCTGTGACCTACATCAGATCCACGCCCCTCCCCCACCCCTGCTTGTTGGATTTTTAGGTTCTACCCCAGTCTCAAGTAATGATAATTATTTGGAGGTGGGATCCAGCAGTCCACCTTTGGACTAAGGTTGCAGGGTGATTTCTTTCAGAGCTGTTGAGCCTGTTTTTCCCATATTAATTTAATGTAGATTAAGCCTGGTGGGGGAGGGGGTGCGTCGGGGACTTTAATTTCCAGGCTCAGGGGGTGCCATCTTCCAGGATCTGTTAGGGTAGCAGCAACTGAATGAATTGAAACGCCGAAGAGCAGCGTTCCTGAGTTATTTCCAGATTGGGACCCCTTCAGTAGCAGTGTCTGTAAGGAGCACCAGTAGTACAGTGGCAGGAGTTGCAAATCTGCATCACAAGATACATTTGGGTCCTGTCATGACTGCTTTCTTGCCTTTAGCTCTGCCTCCCCAGGATTCTCCCTTTTCCCAAGAAGACTGCACAGAAGAGGGAGAAGTGGCAGCTTTGCGCCTCACGGCCAGGTCTCAGGTGAGTGCAAGTCTCTGCTGTTTATTGAAATTCACCTTATTTCTCAGATTGTGGACACACTCTCTTCTGTTTGAAGTGGCGTTTCTGTGTCCCGCTAGAGCCCATCTGCAGAGCTGAGTTCTGATTCTAAGAGATGGCTCGAGTGACTAGTGGATTTGGTGGGAAATGTTATCTACTTCTTCACAGGATCTTGTGCATCTAGTTTTATCACTCAGCAGACATGGAAAGAGCTTTGTCCTTCTTTAATGTGGCAGCTAATTTCTGTGCCTGGTATTTGGAAATGATTTTAAAAGATAGTGTGGTGCACTCTTCTTAAAATGTATGTTTCAGTAGAGGGAAACAGCATACACATGACTGTTAAGTAGGAATTTAAGAAAGCACCTTAAATGCTGGAGTGAATTATGAACATAATTATTCAGATAGTTCAAAGAAGTACCGGAAAAGGAAGCCTATAGAAGGATTCTAATCAGCTCTCCAAGATGATGAATGCTCAGGTATTTTAGAGGTGACATGTTATCAAGTTGCAGCTTGCTTTCCAGTCTCTCCCTTCCCCAAGGGCTGGTATTAAGAATTGTTAATAATGGGACTTCACTGGCAGTCCAGTGGTTGAGACTGTGCTTCCACTACAGGAGGCTGGAGTTCAGTCCCTAGCCCGTGAACTAAGATCCCTCATCCCTGTGGTGTGGCCAAGTATATATATATTAAAAGAGTTGTTGGATTTAAGTGGTAGTTGTAGTATATGGGTGATTGGTATAATAGTCTTTCAACTTTCTTTGCATGTCCAAAAACTTTTAATTTTTATTAAACTTGGGTAGGAGAAAAGAGTTCTCCCTGATTGTGTGTCACACATCTCCCTGATGTGTGTCATACCACAACCCAGAGATTCCTCCACTAGCCTCTCTCTTGGCTGCTTTAATCCAGAGTGTGAAAAGCGGGCCTGGCACTTTGCTACCGGTTATCAGAGTGATTTCTCAGGATCCTTGAGTACTTGGTGGTGTCCGTTGGTTTCTTGAATGTCTTACATGAATATTGAAGATTCTATCACTCAAGAAGCCTTTTAAGTTGCAGCTAATGAAAACTCAATTCAAACTGGCCCAAGCAAGTTTATTGACAATTATAAGGGAAAATCCAAGTCTGGCAAATATTAAGTTCAGACAGTGACATTGGAACCTGTTTTCTCCATTTCAGTCACCTTTTCTTTTCTCTGTGTGTGTTTTGCATTCAGTCTTTTCTTCTAGTGCAGGCTGGCCCCTAACAAATTTAGGCTTACATCTTCCCATGTTGAAAATCAGAGGAAAAAAACATCTTCCCTTCTGGTCGTTCCAGATTCCAGAAGAACTGAAAGTTAACTCTAATGGGTATTATACCCTTCCTTGGACCATTATTTGCCAAATCTGACTGTGATGATCAGAGTACAGAATAGACCTGAGCACACACATGTAAACCTGTATCCCACCCGTGGGTTAGAGGTGGAGCTGGTACTGCCAGAACTGCGTGGACTAAAAGTGGCCAGGCATGGCAGCCAGAGAACAGTCAGGGTATAAGCACCAGAAGAAGGGTGAATGCTTAATACATTTCAACAAGAGACTAGTTTCAAGAGTTGTTACAGCTTCAGGATGGATTAAACCTTTTATGGAAATTTTGAAAATTCTCTCTGTGTCCTTTTTGTATTGCATTAGATTTTGTTTGATGCTAATATTGCAGCTGTCTTTCTTATTAGAATTTGCCTGGGCTGTGAATCTTTTACTTATCAGATTTTGTTTTTTAATGTTTTAAAATTTTGCTTACAGTACAGGTGAAAGGCACAGACATATATAGATATAAAAGTATATTATGCATACTAACCTCACCAAGTTCAGTTTGCTACCTCTCCCTACTAAGGATATTTTTCCATATGTTTTCGTTGAACTTGAACTACTGAATTCAGACATGTAGTATACTATGTTTCCTTCCATTTCCCCACCCACACACCCAGTCCCCAACTTTGGGGGTTTTGTCTGGATCTCTTTTTCTGTAAAGAGGATGTGTCTGTTTTAAGAAATCTTTTTATAAGGGAAATGAATTTATTCATATTAGTATAATTACTTGTGTGTTTCACATTTTTGTTGCTGTGTTATTTTTGTAATTCTGTTTGTTATGCTTTCTCCGTCTGTTTTTTTCTGCATTTTGTGCAGTAGTTTGCGTTTTGTTTTTCTGATTTTTTTTGGTTTGTTTTTCTGATTTTTTTTTTAATGGTTTGGAAGTTAATTTCCACTGTCAGTTTAGCTATAGATAGGCAGATTGGAGGATCAAAGTCATTTTTTTTCATAGTATCTTATCTCCTTAATAGCTGATTAATGATTTTTACATTTTCTAAGGATGATTCCTATATTTTTTTAGGTCTCTAAGATTAGTTCCATTTTGGGAAACTTTATTTGAAATAATTTGAGACTTATGTAGCAAGTGGTAGAAAGATTTCTCATATATGTACTTCATTTAGATTCTCCAGGATTTAAGATTTCACTTCTTTTATTATTTTCTTTTTCCAGAATCAGGAAGTTGATGTTGTTATAGTACTATAACATATAGCTCTTATTCATGTTTCCCAGTCCCTTATTTTTCTTGATTTTCTTCCCCTTAATTTCTGCTTTTATCCTGTAATTCCTTCTGTTTTCCCTCGTTCTGTCTCTAATTTGACTTGATACTTTGTTCACTTAATTATAGTAATTTTTTAATGAAATGGAAGTGTTTCTTCTGAGTACAATTTTAGCCTTATGACATTGATTTTTGCCTTTTATTTCATTATTGTTTTGAAATTTTAATATTTTTTAATTAATTTTTTCAATTACCATCAGTTATTGCTTTTTAATTTCTGTTTGGAATTTATTAGCATTTACTTTGTTACTTTTGCAAGTGCTTTATGAATATTTAAATAGAGTTGTTTTCTATCAAGTTATAGCATTTGGTATATTTATTTCAACAACCTGGAATATCATTCCCATTCTCTATCACTTAAAGAGAAACATTCAGTACTGGTATGTGTCTTTTTCCAGTGAGTTTTTGTATTTTGAGTGTTAGATAAACTCAGTCCTACATATGAACATTTGCATTTTATATCTCTACTCTTTCTTAATCTATTGCTGTCATTTTCCAGTTTAATGCTTTTTGCTTTGAATTGATTCCATGCTTCGCTGAATTTGATGCCCGTCTGTTCCACAGCTTGTCCAGTCACAAGTTCTGTGTAAATTATCTTTCAAGTTTTTTATTGAGGACTCAGAAGGAGAATTATACAGATGTGCTTTTTGTCTCTGCCTATATTTCATTTACTTTGCCAAACTGTTTTGTTGATTCAGTGGATCCTGTTCTAACTCTTTATTCCCCAGAAAAAATGATAGTCTCTCAGTGCAGAAACCATGATCTTCTTTGATTCTCATGTTGGATCTTGGACAGTGTGCCTGGCACATAATTGTTACCCAGCGACTTCACATGGAAAGTCCAGAACACATGAGAATGCTTGTCTCTCACTGTAGTCATTCCCCCTGTTGAGTATGTCTACGTGCTTACCCCAGGGCCAGCAGAAACTGAGAGGGAGGCTGCAAAGAGACGAATGGTGAACAGAAGTATGTTTTGTGTCTTAGGCATCAGTGACCTTCAAGGATGTGGCCATGGACTTTACCCCAGAGGAGTGGGGGAGGCTGGATCCTGCCCAGAGGGACGTGATGCTGGAGAACTACAGGAACCTGGTCTCACTCTGTAAGGACAGACTCTCGCTGTGACTCCTGACCTGCTTATGGGGACCTCACTGTTTTATTGACGTGAAGTAGCTTAACAAAGCCAGAAATTATGTAAAGTGTTGGTCCCTTTGGGCCCAGAGACAATCTGTTGATGCTGTAAGGTCTTGGTGAAATGTCTGGGCTTGTTTTCTTTTATTAGGAGTCTTTGGATTCAGGTGACAGAAACTGAATTCACACTAGCTTGAAAGGGAATCGGGTACGGTGTCAGGAGTTTCTTTTATCTGCTTATTTTTTAATGACATGCCATAGGTTTTCCTGAATCTCCTTGTGGGCAGAGATGGCCTTTGGCCTCTCTAGGATTACATCGTTCTTCCCAGTTACAGAGCTGAGGAAAGAAAGAGGGCTTCTGTCCTGGGAGTTTCAGCAGATAGGTTCATGTGTCCATCATGAGACAGCTACTCAAGCCAGGGAAATAGTGAACGCTCTGGCCAGTTTGGATCCTGTGTCCACCTCCGTGTGGTATGCTTGTGTGCAAGTATGTGCATGCACACACATGCATGCACATGTATGTGTTTCTATGAGGAGTTGAAGGAACTATCTTAGCTCCTCCCAAATTATGTAATAAATTCCATAAGAAAGTGGGTTCTAGTAACTAAAGAAGAAAGAAAGGAAAACATCAAAAACAACTAATCATAGACTCATAGACCCCCAGGCTCATGGTGCTGCTGCAGGGGTCCCACTTCACCCAGCTCTTTCCCTGAGCTGAGGACTGATGAGCAGTATCTCCCTGGGACTCCCATAATAAACAAGTGAGAAATTCTTTTTTTTTTTTCTTTCCCATTTTTTACAGGCTAAATGTTTGTCTTTTCAAATGCGTGTGACTCTTTACTGTGCCCAGACTCTTGCTGCGCATGTTTTAAGCTTCATTTATAGGCTTCCACCTCCATTATTCCAGAACTTCCTATGGTGTCTTGTCTTTGTGGATCCAGGGGTTGGGCCTGTGCTCTGGGACAGAGCTTTATACCCATCACCAAGAGCTAAGTTCCTTTTTTTTTTTTTTTTAATTTTTCTAATGAGCAGGGCTTCCAGTTTCCAAACCTGAGAACCACAGTTTGGAGAATGGAAAAGAACAACTGCTGCTTGAGAGAAAAGCCCCCAAAAGCAGCTGCTCAGGTGAGTCAGATAGATGGGGGTCTTCAGAAAGAACAGTCCCATGGGATGCTAAAAAAGTCAGGACTTCCTGGTGGTCCAGTAGTTAAGACTCCTTGCTTACAGTGCAGGAGCCACGGGTTCAATCACTAGTCAAGGTACTAAGATCCCACATGCTGTCTCTACTTGCTTATGTCAGAGATGCGAAAGTACAACATGTTGAAAACTGAATGCCTGGTATGTGCCCAAATTCTCCATCCGCCTAACAGGATCCTCTTCCAATAATTGTATTAATGATACTCGCTGCTTATCAAATTGTACATGTCAGAAATCTGAACAATCTTTACATAACCCCTTCACCTTTATCCAGTTCGTCCTTGTGTTTATCTGATCACTTCTAAGTATTTCCTCACCATTAACATCCCTTTCATCTGAGGTCATCTCCCTGACTCCACTCTTAACCCCTGTAAACTCCATTCTTCATGTGGCAGTGAGTGATGTTTTCAAAATGCAAGTCTGATGGCATCACCCTTTTGCTTAGGGCTGGTCCGTGGCTTCCCATTGCTCTTAGGATGACAGCCAAAATCCTCAAGGCCTACAGACACTTGTAAAATCTGTCCCTCACTCATAATATCCAGCCCTGCTTCATACCTACTTTCCCTCCGATTTTGTACCTTATCTTAGCAACTCTTAATGGTTTTAGCATCATTGAACCTATTTAACTCCCCAAATTGTTGAGAATCCTAGCAAGCTTTTGTTTATGTGGGTTATATCTACCAGTAGTTACCATATTAGAAATTAAAAGTGAGAAAGATTTTAAACTATTGTATGATTAATTTAGAAATAACAATTATAAACCCATCACATGTTAACACAAATAACACAATTTAAATAAAATTTATTTCTCTACAACAGAAATTTATTGAAAAGAATGGCATTGTTTTACATTTTTGCAGGTCTTTTTGTATATGGCTAATAGAGGACAGCTTTATAATTACATTTGCTTCTGAATGCAGCTTGATGTGATGCATTGTTTTGGTTGGCCTGTATGAAGAATATTGCTTCACACCAATATTTAGTTGGAAGAAGTGGGAGTGTTTTATAGCCTTTTCAGATAATTTTGGCTTTTCTCCTGATTATACACCAAAATTGGGCAAGTAGTAGTTTCCTAAAGGTTAGGTGCAGGTACATCTGAAACCATATCCTTGAACTTTTCATACTCTTAAAATCTATTGATCTTTTGGAAAATTTTGGTTTACTAAGTTAGGCAGATCTTCCAAATATTGACACATTATGCAGTATTTTAAAAGCACAATTTTCAGTATCACCCCTGACCTTATCAGAAAAGCCTTTAAGTATTAGGAAACTCTCGGTGGGAGGTAAAAGTTTTCCAAAATTCTAATTTCTGCCTAAAAGCTCACATTTTTTCGAATACTGTCAGTCATTTTCTTTGAAATGGTAGGCTTATCTTTTTTTCAGTTTTTAAAGAATATCTGCCAGATACCCAACATAGATAACATAGTTGTCAGTCATTCTTTCAAGTATAAGTGCTAGTCTATTTAAAAAAGAAAAACTGACTGCTTCCACAATGGATGGTTTGCCTCAAGACAAGCACCATATTTTGATATGAGTGGACTTGCATTATGAATATTTCCTATTTCATCATCTAGAATGTTAAAAGGGTGTGTAGTCAAAGTTTAATAAATTAAAATTAATAAATTAATAATGTTTCCTATTGTTTCCACAATGAAACTGGCTTTTTCTTTTTTTTTTTTTTTGTTAACTGAGAGTACACAGCAGGGGAAAATGTAACAGCTACTAGTATATCTGGTGTTTGTCCTGATTTGTGCATAAGTGGTGGGCAGTTTCACCACCATTACTTTTACAACATAAATGTTGCAAGACAAACGTCAAGACAGTGAAAAAGGCCAGTAAGATCCAAGTATTATTTTGAAAACAGTTTTGAACCTTGAGACTCCCAGAGGTCCACAGACCACATTTTGAAATCACTGCCCATACTAGCATTACATCAATTTATATTTTACAAACAACTTACATAGCACCTATGCTGTATCAGGGTCCTCAGTGTTTTATAAATATCCTCATTTAATGTTCCTTGAGGTAGGTGTTGTTTTTATTCTTCATGAAGCAGGTACTGTTTTTGCTCCATCTTACAGGTAAGGAAGCTAAAGTAGAAAAGTTAAATACCTTGGGCGAGGTCACATGGCTGGAAGTGGCAGAGCTGGTTTTAAATTCAGACGTTCTGATTTCAGAGTCCATGCTCTCAACTGCTGTGCTCTTCCTAAGTACTGCTTCTCACCTTGGGGCTTCTGTACATATCATTTCCTCTACCTGGAAGGCTCACTTCTGCATCTGTACCTGTTACCTAGAACACTCACCCGGACCCCAACTCCACTTGGATTTCAGCTCAGTGATTTACCATCTCAGGGAGGACTCCCCCACCCCCACCCCCCTGGATTCCCCTTATAATCTTTCACAGCATCATTTGCCTTTTATTTCTTACTACGGTGCATTTTTTATATGTATTCATGGATGTCAGACTAAATTTTTTTCTCCCCTTGTGTACATAGGGACTGTTTGTTTTTCCCCAGAGCCTAGCATACCTAATAGATAATCATTGAATGAACGATCCAGACGAGTAGATAAATGAACAGAGTTCATCTGACTATGTGGAATGAGGGACAGGTCTAACTTGTCTTCTGAGTGTTTAGTCACAGGACCATTTGCTTTAAAAACCAATTATCTTTAGTTCACTGACTGAAATTCCACCTTTGTATTGTCCTTAATTCCTTTTTATACTTGACTGTTTCTGAAATTGCTCTTCTGTTTCATTTTCTGTTGTTTGTTGTTGTTTAGTTGCTAAATCATCTCTCTTTTGCGATCCCATTAACCCACCATGCTTCTTTGTCCATGGGCTTTCTCAGGCAAGAATACTGGAGTGGGTTGCCATTTACTCCTCCAGGAGATCTTCCCAACCCAGGGATTGAACCCGTGTCTCCTTCATTTCAGACAGATTCTTCACCACTGGGCCATCTGGGAAGTCCACCTATCCAGCTACCAGACTTTTTTCCTACCAGACCTTTTTTTAGGCAACCAAGAATTTATCTAGTCAAATGGATTTCACTGAACTACTTATTTATTCTTTGGAACTATACTCTTTATAAATTATCTTAGCTTTATAATTTCATATTCAACACAAAAATTCTGATAGATATATAGTAGATATATTCAGAGAGGTTGGCTACTGCCCCTGCTGTCTTGTATTCTGGCGCTCTTTCTGTGGGTAATCTTACTTATTAGTATTTCATGTATCTGTCCTTGATTTTGGAAAATGTAACCAAATGTGTCGATAATATCTATATCTCTCAAAGTAGCAAACCAAACACAACACACTCCTTTCCAGTTTGCTGGGGTTTCTTAAGTCTATTTAATGTATCCTGAAGATCACCTCCTAGCAATTATGTAGTGATCATTCTCCTATTTTTTTAAGTTGCACATATTCCATTGTGTGTATACACCATGATTTAATCAGTTCTCTATAGAATATTTGAGATGTTGCCAGTTTTGCTACCTCAATTAGTGTTGTAATGTGTAGCCTTGTGCAGGTATAATTTAATATATTTGCCATTATATCTTAGGGAAGTCATAGATTTTTGAATGGGGATATTATAAACGCATTCTTAGGGGATATTTTCCAACTGAAAATGGAGTGCATAGTAGGATTGAGTAGGGCTGGGTGTCTGGAAACTTAGAAGTCATCACTGTGCCTGCACCAAGGTGGTGACTGCCTGGCTGTTTCTGATAGACAGCACTTGATGTTCTCTGAGAGGTTGTTCCTCCCCTGTCTTGATCTGGGATACTCATTTCCTGCTCATCCAGCAATATAGCACTTCCTCTCCATCCTTCCTCTTGTCTTTCTGGTCATCTTTTGCCCTATTCTGCCTCCTGGGTCAGATGGTGTACTGATTTATCTGCATACTATGCACATTCGTTCCCCTCCATTTGCTTCTCTTTGCAAATCATCTTCCAGGAGTCAAATCTACTTCCTCATTGAAGCCATGCTTTTCACCTTCATTAACTCTGACCTGTTACAGAACTGCCATTTTGTCAAACTCAGAGGACGAAGGAAATTTGCATTTCCAATTTCTTTCAGACTCGGAGACTAGTCCCAGAAGCAAGGATTCAACTTCAGTGCAAGATTTTTCCAAAGAAGAATCATGCCAGGTTGCAGTCATAGACAGACTGACAAGGGACAGTGTCTGTGACTCCAGCACAGAAACAACTCTCGACTGTGAAGGGTGGTTGGAGAATCAGCAGGGAAGTCAGGAGAGACACTGGAGAGGAATGTTCACCCACATGAATTCACTCCCAGAAGAGAGAGCCCCTGAGCATGATGTTTACTGGAAAAACCTAGGCCAGAAGTCAGTCCTTCTCACTCAAGACAGAGTTCCCAAAGGACCCTATGCCTTCCACACCCTTGAAAAAAGACTGAAACAGAAATCTACCTTAATGAAAAAGCAGAGGACCTATAAAGAAAAGAAACCTCATAAATGCAATGACTGTGGTGAACTCTTCACTTACCACTCAGTGCTCATTCGACACCAGAGGGTCCATACAGGGGAGAAGCCCTACAGCTGTGCAGACTGTGGGAAATCTTTCAGCCACAGGGCTAATTTAACCAAACATCAGAGAACTCACACAAGAATTCTCTTCGAGTGCAGTGAGTGCAAAAAAGCCTTCACCGAAAGTGCATCCCTTGCCATTCATCAGAGGATTCACATCGGAGAGAGACCATATGAGTGCGGTGAGTGTGGGAAAGGCTTTAATCGAAGCACCCACCTTGTGCAGCACCAGCTGATCCACACGGGGGTGAAGCCCTATGAATGTAACGAGTGTGATAAAGCCTTCATTCATTCCTCAGCACTCATTAAACATCAAAGAACTCACACTGGAGAGAAACCTTACAAATGCCAGGAGTGTGGGAAAGCCTTTAGCCACTGCTCATCACTTACCAAACATCAGAGGGTTCACACCGGAGAAAAACCCTATGAGTGCAGCGAATGTGGGAAGACCTTCAGTCAGAGCACACATCTTGTCCAGCATCAGAGGATTCACACGGGAGAGAAACCCTACGAGTGTCACGAGTGTGGGAAAACCTTCAGCCGGAGCTCCAATTTCGCTAAACATCAAAGAATTCATATTGGCAAGAAACCATACAAATGTAACGAGTGCAGCAAAGCCTTCATTCATTCATCAGCCCTTATTCAACACCAGAGAACTCATACTGGGGAGAAACCCTACAGGTGTAACGAGTGTGGGAAGAGCTTTAAGTGCAGTTCGTCCCTCATCAGACATCAGAGGATTCACATGGAAGAGCAGCCCTGAAAAATGACTTGAGTGCAAAGGAATGTAAGTTGGTGTTATTGCATGTTAAATACCTGAATGGTTTAGGAAGAAGACCCAAAAAATGCTGCCTGAGAAACAGTTCTGTGTGCATCTAATTCTACTCACGTAATACAATAGTTTTGAGCCATAAGCAGAATGTTTCTTCTATCCATTGATTTGATCATTCTGAATGCTTCCAGCCAGAAATCTCAAAGGTTGATCCCTAAACCACCACCCCACTACCCACAATGCTCTTTTTTAGAAATTCAGAAAGTCCTTGGGAGTGGGTAGCAATACAGTCATTGTGAAGTCCAGTTCCCCCTCTTTGTCACGCCAAAACCTGTTACTGCATCTCACTGTGTAAGGACATCCTTATCTTGTAGGTGAGGCTGAGGGTTCGTATCCTCACTTATCAGGAAGACACAGAGCTGTTTATTTTCAAATCCAAAGTGGACACCCAGCTATCTGAAGAATGTCATTTCTTTTACATTAACTATAAAAATTTAAAAATTAGAGTTGAAATACACTCTGGCTTCCCTCCCAGCCCCAAAGGCCGCTGTCTCAATTGATGAACAAATGGGGTCTGAGTTACGCCCACATGGATTAGGCTGACACTTAGATGGTTATTACCCCTCTGCTGGGTACATCCTCACTGCACACTTCCTTGAAAGTGACCTTGAGATAGGGAAAGAGTTGGAACCTTAACTATAGTTTTTTTTCAGGTCCCTCTTTCCTTATCTTTGACACTGAATAAATCCTTGGTTTTCTGTAACCACAGAATTAGGGAGATTTCACTCCTTTACCTCATTCTGCTCTGTGTAAAGTAAGTTTTGTCACTTTGAGAAAAAGCCCCTGGGATATGGAGAGTCTAGAAAGTTGACTGATTCACTGTGCTGTTCCATTTAGAGTCCCAGGCAAGAAGAAGACCTGGAGCAGCTCTGAGGCACAAGAAATATATCTTCAGACCTCACATTATGCACATTTTTGGTCATCGATCTCCTGTGTATTGGTCTTTGTTGTATCCCAGAGCCCTGGAGAAGGTAGAAAAGGCACAGAGCCACACTGATCTTGACATAAGTTTCGTGGGTGACCAAAGACCTTGTAGTGGGATGGAAACACAAAAGCAAGAGTTCAAATAAATATTTAGCAGGCCTCCACACAAAAGTCTTGTTATAGACTTTTTATTTTATTGTTACAGAGACTAACAAACTGTGAAAAGAAGATTATAGAAAAGAGAGAGGAAACAGTTGCAGATTTCCTCTTCTCCTAAATCCTGTCCTTGATGAACACTCAACAGCCAGCCCATGCTTTTCCCCTCCACATTATCCCCATTACTCCTTACAGTTCTCATCGTTCCCTCCGTATACCTTAGTTCTATCATTGAGGAAAAGGAGAGGAAGAGTTTAAAGTGGGGGTAATAGAAATCAAGGTCAGGTCTAAAGCCAGCAATAATGGAAACCAAAGCAATAGGAAATAGAGTGTAAAGGACTAAGGACAGGCTTTGAAAAGAATTAAAAAAAAAAAAAATCTTTCAAAGAGGTGGAACTCTTGAGAGATGAAACTAGGAGAATGGCTGACATAGGACAAAATAAAAAGGAGCTCAGCCCTCTCATCACTTGATACTCAGATTAACAACCTGAAGCAGGAATTGACAAACTGGCCTGGACCCACCACCTATTTCTGTAAATAGTGTTTAATTGGAACTGGGCCTCACTCATTATTTACATGTCATGTGTAGCTGTTTTTGTACTAAAATAGTGGAATTAAGTAGTTAAGGCAGAGACTTCATGTCCCAAAAAGCCTGAAATACTTGCTGTTTCTCAACATTCCAGGTGTTTGAGTGAGACAAAGTTCATTCATCATTTGACAGCCAATACTTGGCTAACACAAGATTAGTGGGTTTGAATTCTATCACCTCCACTTGGCAATTATGTGACTGAAAAGCTACTTCTTTCTGAGCCCCATTCTTATCTGTGAAATGGGAACAGGTCATCCCTCAAGGCTGTTGTGAGGCTAAGACTGCAGGTAGAGAATCTAGCACACAATTACTCTTTTCTCTCATTAGTTTCCAGGAGCTAAAATCCATGGGTGCTCAAGTCCCTTACAGAAAATGATGTAGTACAGTTGGCCCTCTGTTTCTGAGGCTTTTGCATTCTCAGATTCAACCAACCATGGATGGAAATTTGCATCCATGGTTGGTTGAATCTGCTGATGCAAAACAAAATAAAGAGGGCAGGTTGTATTTATTAAAAACATGCATGTAAGTGGACCTGTGAAGTTCAAACCTGTACTATTCAAGGAAGGATTGACTTAACATATTTTAATGAAGTGATGAGTCAGTTTAGTCTGCTGTAATGAAATGTCACTAAGTGGTTTGTTTATAAACAACTGTCTCACAGTTCTGGAGACTGGAAAGTCCAGGATCAAGACCCTGGTAGAATGTCTGATGAGGCCCCTTCCTGGTCCACAGATGGCCATCTGTTTGCTGTGTCCTCCCATGGTGGAAGGGCTGGGAAGGTCTCTGGGGCCTCTTTCATGAGGGCATGTTTGTGAGGACTCCTCTCATGACCTCATCACCTCCCAAAGGCCCCGCTTCCAAATACCAGCACTTTGGGAATTAAGTTTCAAGGTGAATTGGGGGGTGGGGGTGGGGACACAAACATTCCATCTATTAACAAGTGGCTGAGCATCAATCAGAAGTACTTAGTGTGTTTTCCACACCCTTTGTTTATTGATCTAGAGCTGACCACCCTGTACATCAGTAGAGAAGGGCTTCACAGCTCTCTGCTCTTGCTCCATCCCACACAGCCTCCTGGAGACCTCATGGAATCTGCCTTTTTTCCCTCTTAAGTATCACATAACCAGGAGCTGTCCCATATGTCTTCTAACTGCAGTTTAGGTCAAGGGACTTAGTCTAAACTAGTTTTACTAAGAGCTCTGGCCTTTTTCATATCAGTATTTGTTCCTTTTATGCTTAAGAGTTTAATCTGACTGCGTGTTTGTACTCCCACGGGAATCTTGGAAGTTTTAGTGTCCTGCTTTTCAAATGTTTTTTATTATCTGTAAACTAAATTTGATTGTTCTTATTGGCCTACTGTCAATAAAGATATCGTTTGTATATTTGTTGTCAGAAACTTTTGTAAAATACTTTTAAATTCTCATTTAAGCATGTTTTGAGAACTAAAGAAAGACCAACTATAAAATATCTCCACATCATTCAAGAAACTGATTGCATTTCTAATTGTTAAACTGGGCTTAATAACCTCTATCCTAGAGAAGGTGAAAGAGCCAAGGAAGATTATTCCTACCAAGTGGTGCTCAGGCCAAGTATATCCCTCACTTAGGAGTGATGGGGAGACCAGGGAGGGAAGGACTTCATGTAAAAAGTACAATTAAAACTAAGCTAAATACACTGTTGGGCCAGACACAGAATAATCCATACATACTGAATGCACACGTTTATAACACACGGGATGCAAATCTGTGGGGTTGAAAATTAGATGATCCTTAGCTTTGGCAGGACAGAATGTGTAGTGTTTATGGAGGTCGAGGAGAGGAGCCTCTGAGTTGCTAGTTTTATTCTATTCTCTTACACTGTGTTGTAGTTACAAAGGTGTGTTCACTTCCTAATAAGTCACTAAGCAGTAGAGTTATGATTTCTGTCCTTTCTGCTGTATGTTATACTTCAAATAATGCACTTGAATACATTTTGTAATTAAGGTAAATAATACAAAGTATAATAAGAGTTTGCAATCTTATTTCCATTTCATGGAAAACAGTCACCAGAAGGACTCCAAGATTAAGTCCCGTGGGCCCAGGGTTCAAGCCCTGGTCGGGGAGCTAAGATGCCAGAAACTGTTGGGGGGTGAGGGGGAAGGAGTGGTGGGGGGATGGTATTAGAGTTAACAGTCTCACCATTGAGGGAAGCTGCTCGAGAAACCTTGAGGATTCTATGTGACCCAATGTGGAAATATGGCCTTTGGGCATCAAAACCGTGGAACTGAGGCAAAGGAAAGAAAACGTGCTTTAAGTAACGTCAACATTTATTATTAGGATGGGCCAAGGAAAAATTCAAAGATCCAGAAATTAAAATGAAGGCATGATTTTTCGACCAAGAAACTGAATGAGGTAGATACAGGTGGACACGCAATACCCAATTCCCCCACCCCTAACCCTCAACCCCCGCGCGCGTCTGGGGCTTTAATTAGTTGCATGAAGCTTCCCTTGTGGCTCAGATGGTAGTCTGCCTGCCATGCAGGAAACCTAGTTTCCATCCCTGAGTTGGGAAGATCCCCTGGTGGAGGACACGGCAACCCACTCCAGTATTCTTGCCTAGAGAATCCCATGGACAGGGGAGCCTGTTAGGCTACAGTCCATGGGGTCGCAAGAGTCTGATATGACAGCGACTCACACTGTGTTCTCTCAATGGCTTTATTTCTTTAGACAAATGGAAGAGCTCAGAGGCAAGGGCTGTGTCATTCTTTGTATCACTAGTTTTAGTGCTCGACACACAGTCGTGATGTTTCAATCTGACCAAACTTCTTAGGTCCACAGACTGCCTACTATGTGGACCTTCTTAGGTCCACAAACTCCCTAACCAAAGCAGAGCGGAGATGCAAGAGCAGGGCGGCGGCGCGGAGAATTCTGGGCGCCGTGGTCCCCGCCGGCTGCGCAGGCGCACTGCCTTCCGCGGTCGCTCTCGCCGCCGGCGCCATTTCTGGAAGCGCTCACGCCCTGCTCTGAGAGCGCCTTGTCCTCAGGCGGCCGCCAGGTACTAGTTGCCCTGGCGCCCGGCCGGGTCCCCCTCACCCCTCCCTCGGCGCTCGGCTCCAGGCGGCATCGGGGGCGGAGCCGCTTCCGGTGGGGCCTCGGGCCTGGAGCTGACCCGCCCACCTCTGAGGCGGCCGGGGTCGGGCTACCTCAGAAGGCGGCGGCCTGGAGGCTCTGGGAGAGGGAGCCGGGCTGGGCGGGGGCGCGGCTGGACCCTGCCCTTTTCCCGGGGCCACGCCTGGACTGAGGAAGACGGGGCCGAGAAGGGCGTTGAGGGGAGCAGACGGGTTGGAGGAAGGAGAATCTCTCCGTCCTGGGTTTGGCAGTGTAGAGGGACGGGTTCGATAGCGGGAACCTGACAGGTGTCCCCCGCCCCCCCCGCCTTTGGGAAGCGGAGGCAGCTTTTCCTGCCGGCGCAACTTCCAGATACGCAGCACAGGTTTTTTGTGTGTTTGTTTTTGTTGCTGGGACAACTTCAATTCAGTTTAGTCTGTCAGTCGTGCCCGACTCTTTGCGACCCCATGGACTGCAGCACGCCAGGCCTCCCTGTCCATCACCAACTCCCGGAGCTTACTTAAACTTGGAGGGTCTTAGTTCCCCAACCAGAGCTTGACCTGGGCCAGGGTAGTGAAAGCCCGGAATTCTAACCACTGGATCCCAGAGAATTCCCAGAACGCAATATTATTAACTCTAGTCTTGGTGCTGTGCGTTGCAGCCCTGGTTGCTTATTTTATTTTATTTATTTAAATTTTTTGGCCGTTCCATGCAGCTTGTAGGATCTTCGTTCCCCAACCAGGGTTGGAACCCGTACCCCTGCATTGGAAGTGCTGTGTCTTAATCACTGGATCGCCAGGGAAGTCCCTTGGACGTACTTATTTTGTACCTGGAAGTTTGTACCTTTTGACCACCTTCACCAACTTCGCAGCTACCAACCCCACCCCCACGCCCCCAAACCATCAATCTATTCTCTGTATCTGGCAGTCTAGGGTGTTTTATTTTGTTTTGAGATTCCACGTTTAAGTGAGATCCTATGGTACCTAATTCACTTAGACTTAATATTTTTTGTGGTGTAAGTTAGTAGTCCAGTTTCATGCTTTTGCAGGTCACTGTCCAGTTTTCCCAACACTATTTTTTGAAGAGACTGTTCTTTACCTGTTGTATATTCTTGGCTCCTTTGTTGTAATTAATTGCCCATTTATGTGTGGGTTTAATTCTGTATTCTTTTCCATTAATCTGCATCTTTCCCAGTATCATACTGTTTTCATTACTATAGCTTAGTAACATAGTTTGAAATCAAGAAGCATGATACCTCCAGCCTTGTTGTTATTTCTCAATCTTGCTTTGGCAGTTTGGGATCTTTTGTGGTTCTATACAAATTTTAGTATTATTTGTCTCAATTCTGTGAAAAACGCCTTGGGAATTTTGATGGATTTTGAATTGAATCTATAGATTACTTTAAGTAGTATGGACATTTTTAACAACAATAATTCTTACAGGCTTTGAGCATGAACGTCTTTCCGCTTAATGTCTTCAAGTTTTCAATGTAAGCAGGTCTATCACTTTCTTGGTTAAATTTATTCCTAAGTATTTCTTTTTTAAGCAATTGTAAATGAGATTGATTCTTAAATTTCTCTGTGGTAGTTCATTATTAGTGTATAGACACACAACAGGCTTTTTTTAAAGTTGGTTTATTATTTATTTTTGGCTCTGCTGGATCTTCATTGCTGTTTGAGCTTTTCTCTAGTGTGGTGAGCAGGGGCTACTCTCTGGTTGTGGGGCACAGGCATCTGACTGTGGTGGCTTCTCGTTGCAGAGCATAGGCTCCAGGGCTCTCGGGCTTCAGTATTGTGGCTCCCAGGCTTTAGAAGATAGGCTTAGCAGTTGTGGCGCACAGGCTTAGTTTGTCCGTGACATGTGGCATCTTCCTGGATCAGGAATCAAACCCATATCTCGTGTATTGGCAGGTGGATTCTTTACCACTGAGCCACCAGGGAAGTCTCGGATGTGTATTCTTTGTGGAAGTATATTATACATATAAAGGAGGGATAGATTCACCATAATTCAGCATAGATCCCTTTGGGCCTCCAAAGCTCTGCTGAGTGGTAAGAATGTCAAACTGCCTGGGAAGCTCTTATTCAAAAGTAGAATTTCACAAGATATAGAAAGATCAATTCTCTCTGTGCTACTGCCCTTTTATATGCCTTGAAGCATCATTCCACAACTATGCACTTGTTAAGAGAATGTTTTCAAACCTCAAGCTCTTGTTTTCAAACCAAACTCAACATCAACAAGGCCATATCTTTAACCAAAGACAAAAAGCAGAATCAGTGCCTTGGGTATCTAAACAAGATCTCTGCCACTTTGTTTCTCCACAGTGTAAAGCCTTTATTAGGCATATAACATTTTCAGTATAAGAGGACTACTGCTCAGTGCTTTGTGTACTGGATTCCACTTTGTCTTAAATCATCACTACTATCCTGCTCCTTATTGTTTGGTTTTGCCTGATATAGAAAGGATAGATAAAAGATCTATTTGAATGTGAGATTGAGAGAGGCATGTCAAGGTTTCTAATATCTTTTAAGTTTGGAGTTGTGGTGTTCTCTTTACATGAAGCTGAGGTCTGTGAAACTGTTAGCAAATTGACTCTTCACAGGAAAGACAGGAAAAAAAGAGATTATTAGACTATTTCATTGTTAGGTGAGGAGATGATTGTGGCAAGGAAAGGTTGAATTGTTTTCTTTCACAGCACACAGCAAGTTGATGTAATGGAAAAAGTGTGGGCATTATAATTAGATTGATTTGGAATCCTACACGGCATTGTGTAAAATGGTTTAATTTTTCTAAGCCTCAGTTTTCTCATACATGAAATGGGAATGTAGTTTCCATTGGATGATGTGAAGGTCATTGAGAAAGTAGTTTAAAAGCTGCTTGTACCATGTTTGATCTGCTAGCTGTGACTGCATTTAGTAGTATTAAGAGCTACACTAGTAAGAATAGTATTCCCTCACTGATATTGGGGGTTAACTTGTAATTTTTAGAGAGGTCATACTTACTTGTAATGTCAAGATTTCACCTTAGTACATCTGAGATTTCCAAGGCAAGATTGGTTTTCATGGCTTATTTCTCTTTCTTAGATTTGTCTTTGCAGGACTCCCTTTTTCCAGAGAGGGGAACCCAGAGGAAGAGATTATGGCTGCTGTAGTTTTTTCGGTTGGACCTCTGGTAAGTTGGGGAAACCTCCTCTGATCTGACCTGTTGTCCTGGTTTGAGAGCACGCCTACTTTTCCCAAAGTCGTGTGACTTCTCTACCTCACCCATACCCCTTTTGGTAACTGAATCAAATTGTTTGA